CATACGAGGCAGCTGCTGTTAGCCCATACGAGGCAGCTGCTGTTGGCCCATACGAGGCAGCTGCTATTGGCCCATACGAGGTAGCTGATATTGGCCCATACGAGGCAGCTGCTATTGGCCCATACGAGGCAGCTGATATTGGCCCATACGAGGCAGCTGCTATTGGCGCATACGAAGCAGCTGCTACGCGGTGTTCTGAATGTGTTGATGGTGAATGTATATAGTGTGTGACAGTGTATAGTGTGTAAATAGATTGTATATATACACAAATTAGTGTAGCGAGTAGATTATCCCAATAATATACTCGCTCCAAATATAGTGTTAATATTCCTGTCAACCTTTGGAGATGAATGAGGTGAGGCGTTGCCCGGGCAACACGGTGAGGTGTTGCCCGAGCAATATAAGCAGCAAGAATAGCAAACATTAACTAGTCTACTTTCAAGTGGGGTCTAGAGCAGACACTTGCGAGATACTGTACCAACGCTCAGTGCGCTCAACTCACACCAACGTATCACCTGTGTACTTCTGTATATTCGACCAAATATATATATAGTATCTTAGTGTCTGTGTTTATTTGTCACCATACTTTACGTAACAATAGAACCGTTACATTGGTGACCCCAGAGAGTTTCGACGATACCCAGCCACGATGGACTACAACATGGACTCTCACTGGACCTCCACTGCTGCTGCTTGCTGTGGACCGCAGCCACCTGTCATGGAACGTTGCCAACACCCTTGCCATAGCTATGATTTTCATCGCGATCGTCTCTGCATTTTCATCTACTACGGCTTGCTGCTCCACGATCACTACTCACTCATCTGGCAGCTTCATCAGTAACTACATAATGTGTGATCTACAGCCTGTCCTGCCGACTCCGTCGCTGCCAGGGCACTGCTTGTTCTACAGGGGCGCCCACGAAAGCTGCTCTTTCGTCAGATTCATCTACACGTTCACTGCATTCTGATACTCTGCCGACTCAAGCACTTTGCGCAGTACAGGACTTACAGCTTGCGTTTCCGACTCTTCGTCGCCTCCAGGACAATTCAGCTCTAGCAGTGATTACCTCGTTGTCCTAACTACGTGCCTATATTACCTCCTAATGTCCTGGTGCCCGAGCCCATCCGCCCCGGATCTAAATGCTCCACCAGCGACCCAAGAACGCAACAATTATGCACATTCTTCTCTCCTGCTACACCGAGCTTGTCCACACACTGCCTACATCTTTTGGTACCACAGTCAACAATGTAGTACTCGGCGTGTACAGTCCTAATCAACCCAAGACGCTACAGCTTCGACACAGAGCAGACAGCAGACTACGACCGCATCGAGCCGCCACGCTCTCGCTCCCCGAGTTTAGACACTCACAATTCTCAATCGAGCCGCCACGCTCTCCCACATAGAGCTCCACGACTCTGGCCTCACTCAGCTCTCTGCTCTGCTCCAGGCTTCGTCTCAACGTCTGCGACACTGCTAAATCCAGAGACACATCCGCCGACTACGCAGTTCACTTTTCGACCCCAGTTACCAGCCGCACCACAACCTGATCCTACGACGACGGACGATCCTGTGCGACCTCCCACCCTACGACCCCAGTTAGATGACATCAGCGAAGAGGAGGAAGTTAACTTTGATGGTTATGTAACGCGAGCAGGGCGTACAATTCACCGACCAGCTAAGTTCCTTGATCAAGTATTTTTCCTTTCATCCCCTGGGAGGGGGAGTTCTGTAGCGAGTAGATTATCCCAATAATATACTCGCTGCAAATATAGTGTTAATATTGACCAGACCACACACTAGAAATTGAAGGGACGACGACGTTTCGGTCCGTCCTGGACCATTCTCAAGTCGATTGTGCTCAATACTTCAGCCACGTTATTGTGACTCATCGCCTGCATAGTGTTAATATTCCTGTCAACCTTTGGAGATGAATGAGGTGAGGCGTTGCCCGAGCAATATAAGCAGCAAGAATAGCAAACATTAACTAGTCTACTTTCAAGTGTGGTCTAGAGCAGACACTTGCGAGATACTGTACCAACGCTCAGTGCGCTCAACTCACACCAACGTATCACCTGTGTACTTCTGTATATTCGACCAAATATATATATAGTATCTTAGTGTCTGTGTTTATTTGTCACCATACTTTACGTAACAATAGAACCGTTACATTAGCATGATACATAGTAAATATGTGCTGCATATGTGTACACAAGCTGCCTCGTATGGGCCAATAGGCCTTCTGCAGTTACCTTTGTTCTTATGTTCTTATGTACAAGTTTCATGCACGTAACACAGTGTCTACGGACAGTACGGATGTTGTACTGCGATATTATAGTGTACGTGTTCATTATACATTGGATTGGCACATAAAAACAATGAAAATGTATTTGGAAAGGTGCGCAAAAAATGAAGGAAAATATATTCGCGGCAACTCGCGCACCCCGCCCCAAGCGCCCCACCGCCCCCGAGAGCTTACGGCACGGTCGCACGGGGAATGATGACGTCACGCCCCAACTTCCGGACCCCATAGCAGCCAAACTAAGTACAATTTCGACTTTTTTTATTTACATACCCATACTGAGGGAAGGGTTTTTGACACTTTAAAAAGAAAAAAGAATTTTTTCCAGAGAATTTATTTCCTGCGCACTGCGGGGGTGTCACATTTGGAGGTGTCACATTTGGAGGCAACGCAGTTAAGGGGTTAAGTATTCAATGAATAAAGTTTTTGACATTTTTACCCTTCTCCTTACCTAACATCATTTGTGCAGCATATTTTTATTTTATGTCTCACCCAGATTTAATCTCAAAATAAAACCAAACTAAATAAATTAGAAATGGGTATGTATAGCTAAGGTACTTACTACTAGGTGAACAGGGGCATTTGGTGATAGTAAATGATCCCATCAGGCAGGGCTCATCACCTTCTCTCATATTTCATGTTCACCAGTGTTTGTTTACTTAATAACTATGGGTATAATATCTTGCTATTATAAAACTAATTCTAATATCATAAAAGACATATTTACTCAAAGTTTCAAGCAGAGAATGCATATATAACTAACACGAAGGACTCCTCTTCACGAGATTCAATTTTTATAATCTTTTGTTTATGTTCCAAAATCTTAAAATCGATCCCAGTGTCATGTAGTAGAGAAAAATTGAGTTATATCCAGTTTACGTAAAGCTACGAGTGCCCGACAGCACACTTAGATCCCGGACCAAACTTACGAAGGTTTTTCGACTTAGTGTAGCTACCTGAATACCGACGTAGCCCAACCCGTCCTCTTAAAAATAACGTCACTTTTGGCTCGTATGCACGCTATGGCCAAATTTGGACGTAATTTGAAATGAAATCGACTCATAAAAGTGACGTACTGATCCGTTTTCTGTTTGAGTCGTCCGGCCGACTCTGTAAGGTTAGAATAGATGACTTTCAATTCACGTTTTGAAACTTTTATGAGAATTTCCTGCCCACCTAACCTATCAGAGGACCCTTAACACTTTCACCCAGGCATGACGCAGCATTGCGTCATCCGTTTACTGGCGGTAATTCCGGGGATGACGCAGCATTGCGTCATCCACTTTAAATAATCGCCAAAAATCAGGTTTTTATCCGATTTTTTGGGGACTGGTTTTAAAATGCGCGCCGATGTCTTCCCATTTTCTTTGTTGAGCCTCGTGGCCCTCAGGCAGCTTGTCACATGCCGTGGGCCCATTGTTTTCGCTCCACTGTTGTGACCAGTGCCGCCTCCCCTCGCATCTCAAACGTGTGAACATTTCGGCTATTTTCCGTGGCTATATTTCTTACTGCGGCTTTAGAAACTATCTACGCTTACTCCACGATGGATAGTGATCATGAACAAGGCCCTTCCAGGAAGAAAATTGCGAAAGAAAGGCTTGAAAAGGGCGGGAATTGGGAGTGTAGCTGGAAGGCGGCTGAGCACTCACTCGCGGCTAACGCGTGGCCCGTCTTCAACTCGTCGGCGGTTGGAGCGTGACCAGGTTTTTTATTTTATATGCTAATGTTCCTCTAGAGAATTCTATTGCGAACCCATTGAGACCAAAATGAAAGACTTAGGATAAAAATTGAGGTGACCAGAGTGTAAATAGTGAAAACATTTTATCGCGTTTGCGCGCTCCTGGGTAACTCGTTCGCACTTTCTTTGTTTGCTGTGGGTAATTAGCCGGGCTTTTGGAGTTTATATGCATTTAGTGCTGTAGAGAATTCTATTGCGAACACAATGATACCAAATTTAATCTCGTAGGACGAGAATTAAGGTGACAAAGTTGAAGAGAGTATACACTTTTCAGAATTTACGCGCACTCCCGTGACACCCTGGGTCCCATATCGCACAGTTGAGGGGTGGCGAGCGGGGTGCACCAAAGTGTTAACTTTTGTTGAAAAAAAATCCAAAATTTTTTTCATTTTTTTTTCATTTTCAAATTACGTCCATATTCGGCCATACGGACAAACGGCCAAAAGCGACGTTCTTTTTAAGAGGACAGGTTGCGTAGCCGCCACGAAGGCGCTAAGAAGGAAAACATTCATAGCTAAGAAGAAAAACCTTCATAAGTACCTTCGTGAATCTGGCCCCGGATTACTACAGACTCAGGAACTGTGGGTAAGGATGGTTCAATTAGTTTAATGCTATCTAGTCAAGCAGCAACTCATGGAGATAATCCAGTCATGCAACCAGTCAATGTTCTCTTTGTAACTTTTAAATTTGTTAAATGAATAACTAGAAGCATTCATACACTCTCCACTCTACCTCACATTTCCCACTTTCCTCAAGCACAGAACCTCTCACTGGCAATCACTCTCTTCCCCCATTTCATGTCTCTATTTTTCCTACAAGATCCTTAACAAAATGCTGCATAGTTTGGTTGAGGTCTCAAGGAATGTTTTGCTGCACAAAACTTGGGAAAAGTCATATATGCTTCCCTTTCAAAACTGCGTAGTTGCTAGATTGAACAATTCGGGCATCAAAGATACAAAATAACAGCTTCAAGCATGTAGTTTATTCACACACATAATACAATTTAATTTACCGGAAGTCATGGAGAGTTACTTATTATACACAGGATATGGTTGTTACCCTTGACAATACTGTATTATGAGATTCGAAACATTAAATATAACACACAACAAATATGCAGACGATCAGTCACAATAACGTGGCTTGAAGGTATGTGAACTAAACCACTCACCAGAAACATGAGACAACGATGTTTCATTGTCGAAACAATCGACTTAATAATGGTCCAGGATGGACCAAAACGTCGTCTTATCCTCGTCTTTCTGGTGTGTGGTTTCGTTCTCACACAACTAATATTATTATGCATTCTTTAACATTTAAAATCAAATCATAGGAAAAATGTATCAACTGACTACCTGTACATATTTATATTATATAACTGCACAGTACTTAAAGATAAAAAATTAAAATTCTCAATATAATTTAAAGGATACATTACAGATTTCATAACGCAAATAATTTGAATTTAAATGGTATGGATAATATACAATGCAATTAGCACTTCTGGAAGTAATTAACCCAAGGAAAATACAAAAGCAACAAACAATACAAATAATAGTTCACTTTGTTGAGGACAGGCAGCTTGTGTACACTTATGAAGAAGAAAAGAACCGTGGAATCTGAATCACTGAAAGTTGCACAAGTGGGAGCTGCAGTAAAAAAAAAAAAATACTATTACCTGGGTTTGGTAAGTAATGTGAACTTTTAACTTCAAGGAAAAGAAGGTAGTTGTTCAACTGTATAAATCTCTGGAAAGGAAAGGGTGAAATTGAAATTGCCCAACCCAACTGTCCCACTTGGGATTTGAACCCGAATGTGAGTCAAGTATGAACCCAACTGTACTATGGAACTCATTAACATCATGAAGATTTTTAAACAGACTATTGAAACATTTATCAACAGATTTCTCATGCTGGTTTGACTATGACTGTTCTCGGGGAACAAAAATGAGAATCACTTCACTAACATGGTTAGAAATTTCCCGATGTTACTTCTATAGGCACCGCAGTTAACCAATGGAAGGCAGGCATGAGGCCTGCCTACACCATATGCACAAACAAATAACAACATAAGAGTCTGCACATTTAGCATTTATCAAGTCAATAAATCCATGACTTTCTCTTCTTTTCAACTTTCAAATTCAATTTCTAATTTACAATCTATATACAATCTCCATTTTTTCTGGCTACATGTTTTCTAAGTGATCATTCTTCAGCTTTTCAATTTCTATTTATGAATTGAGACAACCATATGTGTTGGTGCATTCTTTTTCATTGTTTTTACAAGCAGTTGGTGAATGCACCACTTGTGCGAGTCAGTCTAGCATGAACACTTCTGAAAGTCAATCATGTATGAACACTTTTGTATGTCAATCTAGCATGGACACGTGTATAAGTCAATCTAGCATGTACACTTCTTCAAACACCTGTTTCAAGCATAGACAACATGAAGGAAGGCAACTATGCAGAAATGTTCTTAATACACAGTCATTCACTTCAGTAAGGGGGATATGGTATGAGAGATATGTAACAGACAGGCACTGATATATAAATGTTTTTAACTGAAAAATTAAAAACTTTCTCTTATAGAAGATTATAAAGTATCTAATAGCAGAAATAACACTTAATACAAATTAGAGATTCTCAAAACAGTGATTACAGCTTAGTTTTCCTCTGGACAACATTTAATAAAATATCATGTACTAGTATACCTTAATTTCTAACATACAAGCAAGTCAAATGGCAAGTGCTTGCTCAGTTAGACCGGAAATATAAACGACACGCAAAGACACCGTCAACCAGGTACGTGATGCTGGAGAACAAGACGAAGCATCCCAAAGCAAGGCCAGAAGAACGTGCATTAGGATCACGAGGAACATAGTGACGTGTCCAGAATACGAAGCATATGATAGCAGCAATCAGAAGCAGTCCAAAGAGAGTGATGTTCAGCACAGGCTCCTAGAAACCAGAAAATAATCAATATCTCAGCAGTATATAAATGATCTGCAATAAAACCAGCCTTAAATGTAATGAAATGCCAATTTCTGTGCGAGACCCAGAGGTTTCCCGGAGCTATACTGGGCTGATGTGTGCATATATTAGACCGTGGCAACAGTCAATCGATGGAGTTCTAGGCCTACTGGGGACCAGAAGCCAAAACCTGGCCCCCTCATAGAGGCACGAGGAGCAATGGCCTATAGCCACCCCCATCTAGTTGGAAGCAGTCTATGTCTGCCATCTCTACCCCCCCCCCCTTTACCCTTCCAGGGAAGGGGGAGTTGCGCAGATGTGGCAGCTGTGGTGACGTCATGCTTGTTTGATTGTTTACTGATTAAGGAGTTCTGCTTGCTTGTTCTGCTTTCAATTTGCAAAGTTTAACCAGCTGTAGTTTGTTTTGGAATTCCTACCTTTCAGGGGTGCCTGACCTGGTAGATAATTACCTAAGTGTAGTTACAGGATGAGAGCTACGCTCGTGGTGTCCCGTCTTCCCAGCACTCTTTGTCATATAACGCTTTGAAACTACTGACGATCAAGGTGGTGGAGGCCAAGACCGTCAGTGATCTAACGTCCCACGTGCAGAAGGTATGACCGGTTGGCGGGCGAAGCAACGCACGGAGGCAGCTGCCGAGAACCCAGACTAAGCCGATACGTTACGGGTTCAACATAGCCCGTGCTACATGGACATTTCGTTCTGAGTAGCTAAATCTGAAACAACAACAGCCAGCATGCTTCGCTTCCCCGACTTCAGAGGGCACGTCAGGAGACTCGGATTCTGATGACGACTTCCCCAGGGCCACTCAGACACGAAAACGGGAGACAAGATGCACGGGTGTGAAGCGCCAGTAATTGTCAGATGAGGACTACAGACATTCCTGGCCCAGTCGCGAAGCCCAGCTGGGGCCAACACAAGGCCAACACAAAACGTACACCAGGGGCAGCCGCGGTACAAGACACACAGGAAGAAACTTCGACTGAAAACTCTTCCACAGAAAACGTACCACTGCACCGGAGCACGAGGTCTGGACGAGAACATGAAACAAGAAGACGGAGGCGCACCTCTAGTTCCACTTCCTTCTAGTGAGTATCGACATGTGAGCAAGTCTTCCCTTCCCCTCCACCACCTCCTAGCTTTTGGCCCAGGCCGCTCTCTGCTCAGGCAGGGCCAGACATTCCCTACCCTGGGGAACACACGTACCGGCGGTCCTCAAGGAAAGGATATGGGCCAACAAATACGTTGACCTGCGAGAGTTACTGGGCCATGACTGGAGATCGACCCCACTGAGACTGGCGTCACAAGACACGCCCCAGTCGCACATCCTGCAGGCAAAAAGACTAAGAAAGACATTAACTGACGGACAGTGGGCCCAAAGCTTCGCCATGTATGCAGCGATCTACCTGGTGAAGCATCCCTAAAAGGACAGGCCCTGCTCACTTACATGAGATACGTGGAGTCCATGAAGGAGGGACTGAGGGGCGACTGGAAATGGTTTGACAGACGATTCCGGTGGGACAGGGAACACTCAGGGAACACTGACCTCCTGCATACCACAGGAGGTCAGCACACATGGGAAGGAGTGATCACGTCCTCTTGGACATTAACCCTTCAATTGCGCATCGCATCATATGATGCTTTGACCGACTTGCAGTAAATTGCGCATCGCATCATGTGATGCTTTGGAGTACTACGCAAGATTTAAACGGCCCGCGGATACACGGGGTTCACCACACCTTCATCAGGGCTCTTGTAAACAGACGCCATTTTAAAAAAAAATCGTGGGCCAAACTCCCGGGTGTTAGGGGCCTCAGTATTGAGTCAGCTACCAAGCCTGACGCACGCAGCATGAGCTCACAGCACTGCTGTTCAGCTTGTGACCTCAGCATCGCCTAAAAATGCCATAATATACTTGTTCATGCTATTATGTAGTGATGATATTATTACAGAAGACCCCTGACTGTGATAAAACTGACCAGGGTTCTGATAATAACAGGATTGTGGTGATATTTGGCGCTGTGCGCCATGGAGGGGAGGAGTAATGCTGTGGGAGGGAGGATGGTGGCGTTGTCTTTTGAGTGTGTGTGGCCACCTTTTATTGACTGCATTCACCATACCAGCTTAGTGGTTCGCTATGGTGAACACAAATGTAGATACTTATATATAACGTGTGTATAGTGTGAGATAACAGCGAGAGTAGGAGGTTGGGAGCCGCGATTTTGGTGAGGGTGGAGCATCGTCTGCAGGACTTATCATGTTGTTTACTGATGACCAAGATGGTCTTTGGGCACCATACCAGTTTACTTGTACAAGTATGGTGAATAAAACAGGTAGATATTTATATATAATGTGTGTATATAGCGTAATAACACCACAAACAGTATTGTTGTAGGAGAAATATTAGTGCGTCTGGCCTTAAGGGCGGCCGCCACCAGCTGACTGTGTGAGTAGCTACGTCTTTGTGCCTTTACTCACCATACAAGCTTAGATGTACAGTTATGGTGAACAAAACATGTAAATACTTATATATAACGTCTGTATATAAAAACAAAAACAGTATGGTGGGTGGAGAATGGTGGCAAGTCAGGTGAGGTGAGGTGAGGGAGGGAGTGGCAGCCAGTCACTGCCTGCCACTGCCACTCAGCATACCAACTTAGTGGTTTGTCATGGTGAACAAAACATGCAGATACTTATATATAACCTGTGTATATAGTGTAATAACCGACAAAGTATTTGTTCACTGATGAACATAATTGAATCAACAATATGCACACCATATTTTTGAGTACAGCGATGATTCACTCATTTTATTATATAAATATATCACACTATTGAATAATATTACAGCAAAAAAACTACGAAAAATCAATCAGAGACATTGAAATAATTAGGTAATTATCTCTTTGTGGAAACTCTGGCCTGACAGCTGGCAATCAACAGACCGCCTGGGATGCACGCTCAGTCAGCGCCTGATTTTTGCCACACTTCCCCGCCCTATAGCGGGCAATATATGCCACTTACGATTTTTTTATTATTTTTCCTGTGATCAGTGAACACAAATTAACAGGTTAGGAAGAAAAAATAATTTTTTTTTTTTTTTTGGTATGCGCCTGTGGGTGTCAAATGGTATATAGCTATGCGCCATTTAAGGGTTAAATACGCTTTGCGATATAATCTAATAGAGAATGAGATACGATGCGAATGAGAATGATGCTTTAATATACTTACTAAGCTCTCTCATCTCATTTTTCTCTTGCAATGTATCTTTATCATTTATCAATTCTGATAGAAATTACCTACTTAAAATTATCTGCTAGATTAAGGACCTGCCCGAAACGCTGCGCGTACTAGTGGCTTTACAAGAATGTAATTACTGTACTATCCAATGTATTCTCACAAACCCAATGTACCTTCTTGTATATATATAAATAAATATATAAATAAGAATGGAGACACTGAAACAGTTGTTAAACTCGATTTCAAGAGAGGACGCTATGGGGAACTTAAAAAAAATTTCATGGGTATAATTGGACAAACGTGTTGCTAGGCAAGGAAGTAAATGGGATGTATGCCAAATTTTGCAAAAAAAGAAGGCACACAAACATTCATACCAAAACAGAGATGCACAACCACAACCTTTGCTTGTACCTGTATATGATAATTCTGTCACTGGCAATCCTGCACTTGGAGTCCAATCCTCTCCCACAAAAACAACATGCAACCGAGTCCTGATCTTGTTGAGATTCTTGTCACTTGCAATGAAAATGCACTAGAAAAGATGCTGGACTGTCTCCTAACTAAATTCATTACACAGGTAAACCAACCCATCCCTGAGGCTGACCCATTAGACACCCCATCAACATGTCCAGACAATGGCATCCGCCCTAATACAGCTACCATTGCTGGATATACATCATTTGAACTGATGATGACTCCTTAGCACGCCTTACCAAAGTCACTCCCCAGGCTGCCTTGCCACAAACCCCAACCACCGGCACCAAAAGTAAGAAACCCCCCCAGCTGTACAAACCTCCCAACGACCTGGCACTTTGACCGAAAAAGCACATAAACCAAATTCACCTATGACACAAACTCCAACCACTCCCAGATATTCAACACAGTGTACTACTGGCACTTCAAAGAAGACAGATGTAATCACATCCCAGGCGTAAAATTTTTAAATACGACAACATAACAATCCATTTTCAATTAACCTACCCCAACCTTATACACATTAACCCCATGTTACTTAATGTACTCTACCTTACCTTACCATAATCCATCCTAACCTATCTGACTTGTGACTAACTCCCAAACATACTTCGACTCACAAACTCGGTCTCTTAACTAAACCACACACATTTCATTAAACAGCAACAATTTGATACCACCATTAACACAACTCCTCATTTTTGCCATTCTGAGTCCATTTCCACTCATGTGTATTTTTCTCATTATCCTCGCATAAATAGAAGACATCGATAACTTTCAATCTCTGTCAAATTATGAACATTGATGCGCTACTGTGAGTGCCGTATCTTTCAACATCACCATTCATGCAGTCATCGGGAGGACAAATCTTCATGCAGACTGCACTTATCGCAAAGTAGTAGTAGTGTCACCTTGGGTGCTGAGAGAATGTGCAACTAGCTGAGCATTCCACTCCAATTAATATTCCAGACATCCTTGTGCACAGGAATCTTAGCAGATACTGTACAGTATATGGAAAAAAACATAGTACCAATCTATAAAAATGGTAATCGAGAGGAATCCCTAAATTATAGAACCGTATCATTAACAAGCGTGGTAGTCAAAACACTAGAAAAATAGTTAAAGCCAAATGGGTTGAACACCTAGATAGTAATGACATAATAACGGACAGACAGTATGGTTTTCGAACAGTTAGATCCTGTGTAACAAATTTACTTAGTTTTTATGATAAAGCCAAAGAGATACTACAGGAAAG